AAATGAATGAAAATATATCAAGTATAAATATGTTAAAATTGTATTGAAAAATACATTAAAATTCCATAAAAAATCATATAATACCATAAAAATTATAATTACTTACTAAATTGTTAATTACTTACTTAAATCACGTATTAAAATATAATAAAATTTAATTTAATACAAGTCTAAAATAATAAAAATGTAATACAATAATAAATACAATCATACTATATATACCTATATAATAGAGCATCTAAAGCTAATTTCCATTCATCTGCGGAAATTTCCGTTTTCTAATTAATTTCCAAATAGTTGGATGTTTATGTCCACAGAGTTTTGAAAATCGGTTAGATATCCCACCCTTCAGTCATATTAATAATTGTTCGATGCCCCCCTACTAAAGTGGCATTATATATTATATTCCATAAGGAAGGTAAAAACATAGGTGGCATCCCTTATGTGATGTGCAACCTGAGGATACTTTTTGTTAGAATTAATAAACTCCATTCTTTTTAATTTTAAACTTGCTTAAAAACTGAGAAAAATACATAAAATTCAAAAACAAACGTATAAAACGATACCATACGATAAATGATACGATACGATGTCATCTATAAAAGACTGACAGTCTCATTACCTATATCATGACTGTGTCTGATATTCGGAAATAGGTCATTTTCTTTAGTGTACCTACCTAAAAATCAATATAGAATCAAAATATACGGCTTGTGATCATTATTATGGTAGATAACAAATATGTTTTATACTTACATTACACACTGAAATAAGTATAAGGTACAACTATACAACTGCAGTACAAGAATAAGTATATTTTGGTAAATTTTCCACTAAACTTATTTTTCTATTATTTATTATACTTATTATGGTAGATGATAAATATATAATATATTGTACAAGCATTTTATACATTATGCTTACATTACATTAATATCAGTTTTTAAATGTCTTATCGCATTATTAGGTCCATCAGGACTCATGGACAAAAGATTGGTGTTTTAGTCGAAAAAAAAACGGTCGGTATCAAGTCCCCTTAATTTTTGTGTTCTGACTAAAAATAGAAAAACACTGCATGATACATTGATACCTTATTCAAATAACACAGACAAAATACCTAGTCATGCATTATATAAACCTTGTTTTTCGATTCATCATCGTTCGTCAGTTTGACAGTTTATCTATTAACAATGACAAAGTCCGAATATGAATAATTTTTCGCATATATATTCATAACTGTACGTAAATATTTTGTTTTTAGAATAATTTTTAACTGGAAATAATATTGATTTTGAATTCATTGTAGATTGACGAAGATTGTATTTGTACAAAAGTAACACTTGATACAAGGTTACATCATAACATAAAAAAAATGTTTAAGATCGGAGTAAATAATATTAGTTTACGTATATTAGTTTTATTTCCGAACTGCACGCCTCTAAAAACATTTAAAGAAAAAATGGTTAAACAAGACATTAGAATTCATGATAAATTAATAATTTAAAATGCTTTTTTCAAAACAACCCAAGAATATACAGGAAGAAAACTTAAAATCGTTAATTAAGGTTATCCACAGTGCAAGTCGAAAAAATTAGCAGAAACTGATCAATATTTACAACATTTAAACATATCGTTATTCGTTACACGAAAGGAATTACTGGATAGCTGTGAAGGAAGGATTTAGTACCTTTTACAACTCAGCACAACAGTTTTTCTCCAAGGGCCCACCTCCGCCTGAAATTTCGATGAGTGGAAATAGTCTTAACGCGTCAGAAATAATTATTGACAAGAAAATTCAAACAAATTGTACAATAAATAACTATAATTATTGTAATTACATATCAGTCATATCAGTTATCACATACTGAGGGTAAAAAGCTAGACTTTGGATTAGTGATGATCAAAACAAGACCAAGACCAAGGGTTTAAAAATATTGGTCTTGGTTTTGGGTATACTGTATGTCTGTATACACCTTAATATTGGTCTTGGTCTAAGGTCTTGCAGACTCAGTACCTATTGGCCTTGGTCTTGCGCAAGACTTGCTATTTTCACAATATCTATAAAAAAAACTAAATAGCTAAATAACTGTTAGGTATAGCTGTGTGTAGGTTTTTTGCTATGATCTCTAAGATGAAACTTATCGATATTGGGAAAATAAAATAATTTTTCAGTAATTGTAAATTAGTATGAAATAACTATTATGTTATTTTGTGATATTAATTCCTGTTTGTTATATTTCTAATTTTTTTTCAATAATTCACTATTTCCTCGAATACTGATCTAATTTCATAAAAATACAAATAAATTCTTATTATTTTCGTTATAAATTATTATAGTTAATGAAATCTAGATTCACTAATGTGTTTTCGGAGGACAAAAATATGTACAAGACTGCAGTGATGATCTTATTTTAGTCTTGGTCTTGCAGCTTCGGTATTTGGTTTGGTCTTGTTTTTGCAAGTCAAATCTTGGTCTTCGTCGAGACCGCAATACCAAGACCAATTTTGATCATCACTACTTTGGATTATCAGCAGACAATAAACACACAGAGATCACCAGTCATGGCAATCCTAAGAAACTTAACTACGGTTTCCGGATTCCGTAAAGGACTGTTTTAGCAATAAATATAAATATATTATATAATAATATACTACGGGGGACGGAGTGGCCGAGCGGACTAAAGCGTCGGTTGCGAAGAGCACCGACGTCAGTTCAAAACCTCGGCTGCGGGCGGCATTTTTCTTCGGGCAAGTCACGGTGTCCAGAGAGAATGGGCCGCCATCCCCCACCCGGGCATGTCAGATACCTATGGGTGCCCACTAAAAAATCTGCCAAACTAACAAACGTCGTCAAACACACGTCACACGGGTTTAAACCTACAGTATTCTCCCTCGCGGTTAAATACCACCCAATGGCCTAAGTTACCTCAGGTAAATTGATAAAAATAAAAAAATTAATATACTATATAATATTAAATATAGTATCAATGTAGGTATGTACAATGTACATTTTAAATATTATTTTTTTTTTTTTTATGCACACCGGTTTATTGCAACCACGGCTTTAGATATTCTATCTAAAGCCGTGATTGCAACGGTCGGCGGATTGCAGCCTTAATCCCCGAAATGATAGCAGATAACATAATATTATCTTCGTGGTTCATGGTTCATGTTATTATTATGATGGATCCTTTAATTTAGATATGATACAATATACATACAACATACATGATACATTGTTATGTAAATTTTATATGATAAACTGGTCATTGGTGATAAATGACGAGTGACAATTGCTTATCTTATCTTACTATAAAAAAAATCTGTGCTCATATATTTTTTTGATTTTTTGGTACCAGACAACAGTATTACCAGCTCACGAGAAATCTCCTTTTAAATTTCTAATCTTTAGCTATAAAAATTGAACATTTTGTAAATTTTTAATCAAAAAAATATTTGCAAATGTTCGTGGTACTGACTAATTAAAAATTACAATTAGATTTTTAATAAAATTACAAAGTCAAAGTCAAATTTACGTTTTAATGAATCTGTCATTTGTTCGCAGTTTCACACTTTCGCTGAGCAGAAACGCAGAATCAGTAAACCGTCTTGTTTGATGTTTCCTTATCTCAGTTTATTTCTATAAAAATTTATCTAAAATTATATTTTAGTTGTTTTTGCCGCGAATACAAATTTCTCATTACACTTTTATGTTGTACAACTTTGATATAGATATTAAGTTACCCATGATAAATCAGAGGAATGTACTCATGGCAGCGGTGTAGAGAAATAGCCTAACTATAACGCCCTTTTGGTCAACATTTTCAGACTTCAGGTTTTCACTAATTTGTAAAAATATGAACATTTGTTAACTATTTTCTGGTTAATAATTATTTAAATTGAACATTTTATTATTTAAAAATTGAAAATTTAATAAAAGAACTTCATAAATTGTTCTTTTTAGAATTAAGAAAAATCCCTAATAGACCTATCTGCCTCTGTGCATTACCATACCAAATATATTAATATATATAATTTTCACAAAAATGTAAATAGGTTATGTACCTAATAGCTAATAATAGTAATAAAGTGTATTGGTTCTATCATAAAGTATATAATATGGCAATATTACTAATTGTACAAACTCTTTATTATTCATAAAAAATATATTTACATAAAATATTATTAAAACAATTAAAAAACAGAATATAAATCAACATCAACTGTCATTAATTTAAAATAAATAAAGTTGACCCAATATTATGTTACATTTTGATAATACAGATTTAGTGCTGGCAAATTTATTTATAACCTGATTATGAACTTACATCAATATCACCCACAAGAAACTCACTATTTAAAATTAATAAGAATATTAACTATACTATAATATAAACTCATAAACATATTCATGTAAATATTAACCTATTAATATCTAGGTAACTACGTAAGTACCTACTCTCTAACTATTATAGTAATAGTATTAATTATCCTGAATAAATAGTTTTACATACCCACCCACACAACATTTTAGGTGGTTCAATAAGTACATAGCCTATGCCACTATAAATGGGAACATGGCTAATTTACATTGTCATGTACACATATAACCATATTTTAAAAAGGAAATTAATAGTTTCTCATAATAAGTATATTATAGAATACAAAAAAAATCTGTATTCTTAAAATTAATTATGGAATTTATGAAGAAGAAAAAGTACTTCACATTTTATACTTAGTTTATTTGTTTTATTTGGAAAATCTAAAATTGAAATACATAGTAATGTTGTACACTAATAACATAGGAGTATTACCTTTAGATACTCAAATGAACTTGAATCAAAAAAAATCTATATATTATTTATATAATATTAATACATTATGAGGAATTGAACTTTAAAATACAATAGTAAGAAATATTTTAAAACCATTTTGGGTACAAATAGTCATTGAAATCATTGGTACTTAACAATGTAGAAGATTTGTGCTTCCAAATATTTTTAAGAAGAATCACTGTCCTGAAATATATTTATCAAATATTATTTTATTATGTAAAATAAAAATTATCAAGCATATTACTTAAACCTAAATTTATATTCTTATTCCTATTTGATTATGTTCACCAGGTAAACCAAACAATATTATTATTAAATCATAGATTGGTAAGGCAATAAAAATGAATTAATTAATTTTAAAGTTATAATTAGTATTTAGACCCAAATTTATTATTAAGAGTTTAATTGTACCATATTTCACTTATATAACAATTCATGATGTCTATAAATAATGTAGTAACATAAAGTAAGCAAAATGAGATATTTACACAAATTTGATGCAATAGTTATAGTCGGACTCACGAAAAGTTGACTTCAGAGATCCCAGAGGCCGTTTTTTAATAAGTGACTATCAAACATACAGACACAACTTTTAAAATTGTAACCTATCCGTAGCCAGCAACTGCACAAACGAACAATACTATAAATCAGAGAACCCCGGGTTCTGACAATATTTGAACTTCGTTCGTCGACCTTGAATGTTCACTTTTCGTGAGCCAGACTATAATAAATACACCGACTAATATGGTACTATACCCTACATACATAAGAATAACTAATGTGTAAACTATGTGTATTTCATTTATAGTTAATATTATAACTGAATTAATGACTTAGTACAGGCCCGGCTCAAGGGATAGGCGACATAGGCCCACGCCTAGGGCGGCACATAAGCAGCACTTTAGTAAGAGGGCGGCATTTTCAAAATACTGATAATATTATATTATTAGGGGCGGCAAAATTTGATTTCGCCTAGTTCACTATTTTCGCTTGAGCCGGTCCTGACTTAGTATTCCTATTCTTTAAAATTGTATAAGTAATTAAATCAGTGGCGGCTCGTGTCTATGAGCGACAATGGGATCACCCTCTTTAGAATAATATGAAAAAAGAATAGTTTATAAAAAGATATACTAATATAAATGTTTGTAGTATAATTTTAACAATGTTCTCAAAATCTTATTGTTATCTGAGAAAATGTGCAGAATAGTTTTCATTCAGTAATTGGGTAATCCAATTTGTTTATAGAAATGGGAACAGCATCAGAGTGCGTGTCCTATAATGTATGTCTGTATGATGGCATACATAGAAAACCATGTTTTATTTTCATGTATAAAACTTGGCAAAAAGGAGACGGTGGAAAGGCTAAGACAGTCGGATTTTGTCACAGTTCATATCTCACAATTCACATGTTTAAGCTACCAACAACGCATCAGCTGTAATTTAATGCTATTAAAATATAACTATTAAATAAATAACATAAATACTACACCATATTTACATAAAACAAAAATTATACATACATATTTACTCTTTGTTGCAATGATGGAACAATATACTTAAATTTTGATTGCACTACCATGTCTAACTATTACACGCCACCACTGAATTAAAAAGATAACTTATAAAACTAACTTAAAAATGTATATTATTTGTAAATTTCAAGGAGTCAAACCAAAAATTACCTTTAAACAATTACCAACTAAATAACCATTTGATATTAATTCAGGGCTCGGAACATTATGCGCTAAAAAATAATAAATAATATGCAGTATATTACTATTTAATTATTTTATAAAATACCTAGGCATTTATATAGTAATGAACTCCAAAAAATACACAACTATCCAAATATTTTAATAATATGCATTTTTTGTTTTTATTATTATTTAAATTTTTTTGTTTTTTATAAAACGTAAGATATCAACATTAAACACAAATCAACAAAAAATAAATATTAAATCTATAGTATGATTTTGAATAAATAGGGGTGATCAAAGGTACTAATTTTCAAAATTTGATTAATTAACAAAATGTTTTTTAGTATGAATAAAAACGTTAAATGGGTAAAATCATTACAATTTGGTACAATTATGCAGGATTATGTAACATTAATTTTCTGATTTGAGTTTTATGTATTGTGAAATGAATTAGTGTTGAATACAATTTAGAATAATATGCACGTTCCAAAATATTTGAAAATGCATGAAGTTCCAAGCCCTGGACATATTATACTTTGTTTTTAATAAGAATAAACCATTTAGTGTATGACAAATTGTTTGTGTAAGGACATCAGATCTCCTTAATTTGACATACTTTGCAGCAATAGGTAATGATAATCGGTCATCACTGGCTGCAACCGTAACAATCATTTACAGTTATTACAGACATTTACTTTTGGAGGAATCAAAACTAAGACCAGTTTTTATCCACCAGCTGGTTTATTCTTATTTAAAATGGAGTATACACTCAATGGTGAATAAATGTAGATACATTTTTATTCTTGTTTTTCAGGTAAAATATTTATATAAAGACTAATGGTAGACTTAAAGAAATAATTGATGTACCGTTGGATCACATTCAGCACAATGCCATGAGTACCCACGTACTTTTGGTGACTTTTTCACTGGAGGATCAAGACAACAAAAATGAAAATTTTTACTGCATTCATCACACCTGTAGAAATAAAGTTTCTTAATTCAAAATAACAATAATGCAATTAAAGAATCAACATTCAAAACTTTACTTCAAAAAGTAATAAAATAATGGTATATTTTTTGTTGATAAAATATACAAAAGACAAAATCAAAATAAACTCCAGAAACATTTCTTGTAAGCAACGTTTGACAGGTTCAAATTTTTTGTTTTGGAGTTCGTACATTTTTTTTAGAGTTTGGATTGATATAGAGAATTTCAAACTTTCTATTAGAGTTTGGTTGGATTTGATTTTTTTTAAACTAGATTCAATTTTCAAACTCAAACAATTACCTAACGTTTAGTTTGATTTTTTTAACTTCAAACAATTTTACCCACTTGGTAAAAGTGATACATTACTATAAAGGATAATAACAGAAAGACTAGACTAAAATAAATAACATATTTACTCGTTAAAAGTTGGATAAAATATACTTATAACAGGAAATTCCCAAAAAGAATATTTTGAAAAATATTTATATTACAAACTCCTTCCCTGAAATAAATATTTTTATCATTAAAATCTATCCAAAAAATAGATTTACAAATTCACTATTTTATATTTTTTATTTTCGGTATTTAAAAAAAAAAAATTGTTATACTGTATTTGTAGCACAGCAAGCGTCTCTAAATTATTATTATTTTTTTTTTTAAATGTTTAAATATTGATTAGTACAAGTTATTTTATTTGTCATATTTTTCTGTTACACCCTGTATACTAATAATTTTAACACACATTAGTTTTATTGAACAAAGGCTTTGGGTTATTCTTGATATTGTTGAGAAACTAAAAGCCAAATATAACTGATTGATTTTTTTTAAAAATATGAACAATTATACTAAAAATTGCTTGTTATACAACATTACTATTAATTGAAAATTATAAAATAAAATAAATCCTTTACATCATATTTCAGCTATAAATTAATAACCAAAATATTTCTGCCTTTATAATACTTACTGAACCATTGTAATGCTTGTTCCAGTTGTTTGACAAGTGTTACATTTAGGAGTCAATTTAATATCTGTTAATGTTGTGGTTATTCTGAGTGGTGCAACACTCTTTTCTGGTTTGAGTTTTGTAGATGTCTGAGGTGTTTCATCTACTGGTGATGCAATAAGTAATTGCGAAGATGTTGTCTTAACTCCACTAGCACTTGGTACAGATTTTATCTAAACAGTTAAATATAATTTTGAAATGATTTCGAAATTTTTTAAGTTATCAAATCTTACAAATAGCTTAATTCCTTGTCGGGGTGCTTCATTAACTAAGTAATCGTTAGCTGGTTCCAATTCTGAAATATTATTATCCCTGTGATGCTTGTGTTTGCGTTTGCGAGACTTAACTCGTTTTGTTATTATCTCTGGAGAATATCTTTCCCTGTGGCGTTCATGTTTTTTTTTCTCTAAAAATGTTTAAGGTCAAACAATCTCATTAATATAAATCATATTTAGTCGACTTCTTCAACAAAATATTTTTGAACATCCATATTGTTTAGTTTGTGCGATATTGAATAACAATATAATATCGAAAAAATGTAGGTGTCAATATTCCGAATTAATAAATATTTATAAATCAGTTGGTTTCCGGTAACCTGAATACCCAATGACCCAAATGACATTAATTAAAAATTAAAAATTAATTTTGATTACGTTATATTGAATGGAGTACAATATATTACAATTATCAATATGTAAATTTCCGAAAAAAATAATTGGCGATATCAATATTATTCAAGAAGCTTAATATTTAGTATATTACAAAATTATCAATGAGTTGCTATAAGGTAACGTTAAAATATTTCAAACAATTTTTATATTTTATAACACATTTGAATGACCATCATAATTAAATCTTAACTTTTAAATATTTTGAACACTAACTTGATCCTCCAGGCATTTTATGCTGTTCTGTAAGACTATTGATATCCTGTAACTAATATATGATTAAATAATTTTTGATTGAATAAAGAAAACTTTGATTTTATTCAATAGTTTAATACTTACATCATTAGCAATAGATGACGATCTATGGCTGTCTGATACAGATCGCTCTCTTCCACCATATCTCAATTTTCTAGGAGCATTTGGATCAACTGTTTCTGGTTCAGAGTTAGAATTACTATTATCACACTCACTGCATTGCCTGGATTATACCATATATTTTAATAAAATATTTCTAAAATATTTAATATTTATATTTACCATCCAAATAATTTTGTTTTCTTAGGCATTCTAGTCAACGGTGGATTTAAACAACCCAAATGATAGTATAAATAGCATGTGTCACATTTCGCCAGCAAATGTTGATCATTTGTACGACTGCAAATACCACATTTATTGTACAAACCTAATGGTGCGACATTATCTGAAAAAAAAAATATTTGAGTAATTACATACCATAAAATTAAACATGATTGTAAACTATAGAAGCATGTTTTACCTGTAATTTCTAAATTATCATTATTTTTGATTGAGATTCCAATACCTGATTTTAAGACGGCAGGAGGAGTTGAACTGTTTATTACTAAATGAAAATAGTTAAATTTAAATTAAAACAAAACTAACACAAAATAAATAAATGTAAATTAGATATCCAGAATTTAATGGTTAGTTCAAAGCAAAATAAATTAAACTCACTCAAAGAATTATGATCATTTGGAGCTTCTCTAGTAAGTATATCTACATCTAAAATATTAGCATTAGGATTGCAAAGTTTAATGACGTTATGGTAAGCTGTAATAATATTTTTGAGTCCTAAATGTTTTTGTTTTTGAATTTCATTGTTTTTGGACTCCTACAAAAAAATTAATCGAAATATAATATTTATACTAATTGATGTAGAAATATTTTTTAATAATTGTATTACTTGATCATATGTTTTTTGTACAACTATTAGTTCATCATGAAGTTTGTTGTTTTGGTCAGTAAAATGTTGTAGCTGATTTTTTAAATCTGTCAATCTTAAATTTCTATCCATGAAATAACTTACAAATTCCAAACTAAAAATGATAAACAAATTTATTTATAATTATAGGAACAAAGAAGAAAATACATGAGAAATTGTAGCTAACCTAAATGTAGTAGGTACATTCCATTTTTTTGGTACATCGCGTAATGGTCCTTTATTTGTGCTTCAATAGCCTCACAGGAAGCCATATTTACACCCATTAAACCACCTTTTAGCCAAAGGGCTCGACATGCTGAAGCTGATGTTGTAATTGGACGAGGCACTTTTGATTTAAATGCTGTAAAAAAATTAACTATGCACTTAACTTGAATAGAATTAAATAATTGTAAGATATTTACCTGACTCTGTTATACTGATTTTTTTTCATTCGTAATACTTAGATCGTAATTTTTCAAGCCTTCGCTGATTACGTTGCCATGTAGCTGATTTTTCAGAAGACTGTTGTTCACGCAATAATTTCATTTGTTTTGTTCGTAATTGTAGTATTTCCCAATGTCTTTTCCTTTTCTTGAAAATAAATATATAAAAATAAATATAAATTATTATAAAATGTAAAAAAGGACATAAATAATAATAATATATTAAATATAAACAAGATTGGGCAATAATTAAAAAACTTAGGAAGTTTCAGAAACAAATTATTGATTAATTAATTTAAGTATACACAATTAACATAATTAAAAAAAAAAAATGTATTTAAAAGACAAATATACTAACTTTGCTACCAGTTTGTCAACATGTAACTTGCAATGAGCATAAAATGGATCAGTTTGGTCAGTTTCTGGACTTGTTGCCTCTGATAAACTACCTTCTTGTTGAGCACTAATTAATATTTTTTAATACTTATAAAAATAATTATGTGTAAAATATACATAGTTAACATGGTTGTCTTAACTATTCTATTTCATAATTTAGTTACAAATTATCACTATACAACACACTGTAAAAAGGTATTTCCATGTCCAATGGTGGCATGTGTGTATGCGTATGTTTAATAGCTCTGGTGATAATATAATGAGTCATGATAGCTCGAGGAACCAGGTAGAAGTGACAAAAGAGACAGTCATAAAAAAAGTGAATCCTGGTGGAGCCAAAGTAGATATTTGAAGTTAAAACTTTTTTAGTTAATACTTATTAGTAATTACATTACTATTAGTAATAAATTAAGTTAAAAATAAACAAAAAAAAATAATAAATATAGCTTAATAAGTATTGTTTAGTTACTATACCGTGTTGAGACCTATATCCTAGGCTATATCTTGTTAACAAAAGGAATCTAAAATTAGTTCAGGAGAGGAGACTTAAAACATGAAGAAAAAAATAAACAGATTTACAACTATTATTTTGGTTTTGTTTTGTTTCTTAATTAAATAAGTAGTTATCATACCAAGTAACATGAAAATAGATCGGCACATCCCAGCATCACATGCAATATTCACACCAGTGCAACTAAATCTCATATCTTTACACAAAGTACATCTTTTATTACCCCATCGAGGTGTAGTATTTGCAAATAACATAACTTTACTGAGACTTGTGACTTCGCCAAAAGTTATACCAGGGACATATAAAGCACATACTAAATGTACCCATTTTCCACAATCTGTCTCCTTAAATATTCCGCCTAAAACAAAATATATTAATTCAAAAGTTGTTAAGACGTATGTATACGTCTGTAGAAAATATACAATAATTTACAAACCAAAATTAGGACATAATTCACAAGTAGGATTTTCTATGCCTGCTTTACAAGCTTCACAAAACCATGGTTCCATAGAACAGGATGAAACAGATGAACTAACACTTCCGGAATCATGAACCCCATAACAACCTATAAATAAATGTTTTTTTTATACAGTTACATTATTATTAAATAAGTATTTACCTTCATGAACTGATATACCGCATTCATCACAATCTATTAATTCATTGACGTCATCACTAGCATCGCCTAGGCAAATACTACAAATATGAATATTATTCACTATTTCTCTTAAATTCACCTGAAAAATAGTTAATATTTTTAAATACAAAGTCAATTATATAAAAATCAGATAGGTTATACTTTTCTAGAATTATCTTGATTGGGTGCCACGATATCTGTGACATCAGTAGTCATATTACCATCATTACATCTAATATCATCTTCATCATCTTTTTCAGCTTCTTCTTGATTACCTTCATCTTTTAAAATATGATTATATATATATATATAAGTACAAAAGTATAGATATTTACACAAAATTAAAAAAAAAATAATAATTACATAATTATATTGTAAAATAAATAAAAATTTTTTTCTAAACATACCATCAGTAAAAGTGAAATTTGAAGCTCTATCAGAATCTGATTCACTATTAACATAGTGATCTTCAATACGGAAATCACTATCAGATGAACTTTCACCATCTATATCATCTAAATGTACCAATTCTGGGTTAGCAGGAGGTTTGACTCTTCTTTTATTAGGATCACGTTCCACTATGAACATAATAAAATAATTTAAAATTCTAAATGTCAAATGTACTACCTTAACTTACAGTTTTTAGCATTGAAGCCTTAGTAATGTAATAAATTATAAAACGCATTCAAAAATATTGATTAACAAATTGTTATATTATCACCGCTTTCATTTAAAAATTAATTGTAAAACAGGTGTCATTAGTAAGGGGCTGAAGGGTGTTTTCGCCTCATTCTACACAGACTCATAATTTAAATCATTGTTATTTTTAAGGAATATAAACAGTGAAGATAATTATAAAAATGAAACTTGAATAGTTTGATATTTTTGTTACGATCATGATTCACATATTCTTAACTTATTTTTGTATGTATTTAATAAATAAAAATTTAAAATACAATATACTATATCGGAAAATTTAAATATCTTATAAAAAAAGCCATAGTACAAACACAAAAAATAAGTGCTACTGAATAAACATTTAATTATGTTGGACATAGGTCACAATAACTAAAAAGTATTTTTAATTTTATTATAAATTGTATGAGCGATAGTACTTATAGTTTTAGTATACTACAATACTGGTATTTGAGCCTAAGAAGATAGTTAGTAACTCAGAAAATAATAAACTGTTAATTCAAAATTAAGCAGTGTACCTGAGGCCTACCTATAATGTATAAATAAAAATAAGGCTTCAATCTAACTCGCGATATTTTATAAGGATATAAAATATTATTTTATGACATTTATTTTTTAAATGTGATTGAATTGAAAATATAGTAAATACATAAAATAAATTAGCTGAATATAAGCAAAAATTACTTTTGTATTATGAATTAATATGTGACTGTTGACTAATCATTTCTGATTATCACCGTAAAATTATTCTTATAAATTGTTTATATTTAATTAAATGTAAAGGGGATTTTAGTATTATTGCCTAACACATTTTCAACAATGATTTAGTGTCATTTATAAATTTATTAGACATCCAAAAAAAATTAATTAATTTGGCATCATAACATTCTAAGCAATAGACATAATTAATTTGATTCATTTTTAAACTGGGGATTTTGTTTTCCAACTACCAAACATTGTGGTCATATCAATCAATAAACCACTTATCTCATTTATAAAACTTGACTTATAGCGGTTAACCTCCGCTTAACTTAAGTTTCACTTAGTCTACATTTAGTAACTTAGACTTAATGTAATGTCAGTTAAAGTTTTTTTTTTAGTACAAAATACTTAAGTTTGAAGTGTTAATTAAATCATTTTAAGTATAATTTAAATATTAAATATTGGTGGTGTAATTTATCGTAACTTATAAGTAAAGTATCTTAAATTATCATTTGATTTTTTTTTTTAGATTTTGTATTTTTAATATGAATTGCACCATAGCGGTCAAGTGGACCAAGAGTCAACTAACCGTTAGGTGTAATATACCTACCATATACCCCGAAGCAACTAACGACAATTAATATAGTGTAGGTACATAGTGTAGGTACCATAGATATATTATATCAGTGGTAGGTACAACATAAAAAAAATGTATCCAAATAAAAGATAATATCAAAAGTAAAATTAACACAAAAATTCTATAAGCCAGACGCTACTACAGAAGTTGATGATAAATGATAATTATTATACCAAATACCTACACATGATATAAAAATACCTTTTATTGTAAAATACAAATTGGTAAACTTACTTTTCAGTTTTCCGTCCTTATATTCTTCAAGTTAATACAATATTCAATGTTTATTTGGCTATAGATTTAAAAGATTGACACACACAAGTGTATGAGAATGGCGAATGAAGTCATCTTGTGACTTGTCCGTGTAAACCATATACATCAGACATAATATAAAGGTATTTACGATATACGTCTATAGTGTAAACAAATTAATGATGCCCATCTTGCCCGTATTAACTATTAACTGTTAACAATTTGACGCACATAAAATATTTAAATACATAAATACATAATAATTTAAGCGACGAATCATCTGGACAAAACGCGCTATCTACGCATGTGCGAGTATACTCGTCGAGTATTTACACTTAAAAATTGGATAAATATGCGACGGCTTCCACTGCAAGTGACTAAATTACACATTTACACAGTATCTCGCCATCGCGTAAAGACTCGTCGCTATTTGCTAAAAAGTAATAAGTCAATAAGCGCAAAAATAACGCAAATTATTAATATGGACTTAAAATAAGATAAAATAAAATTATAAGTTTATAATAATAATAATAATAGTTCAAATAGTTGTACGACGTATTGTTTAACAAGTATATTAATTCGGTATTTCAATATGTGTCTATGGTACATATTTCAGGCTTTTTACTTTTTAGCACTCAGCACTTTATAGCAAACATTTTTAATTTTAGAAAATTAAACTTTTTTAAACTTTACCATATAATGTCAGAACTTAGACTATGTCAGATGTCTATACCATCAGCTCATCTATTAATTACCAATTAAACTTTTTGTAGTAAAAAGTAAACACCGCTACGCAGTGTAGCCAGTAGATTTTTTTATCCATGTGATTTGAAAATGTTTTTTATGTTCCCTAATTCTAATTTGTTGACGTAATATTTTAATCTAATTACTACAACGATTTTTAAAGCTTGGTTTTTGTTCTGAGTTCATAACATTATTTAATTTAAAGCTTTTATAATTTATAGTTTTTACTTTTTATGAAGAAATATCATTGTACGTTTACAAAATATAAAAAATACCCACAGATATAAATATATAATAATATATTAATATACTAGATATCCTGTACTATATAGATATATTCTGTGAAAATGTGAAATACTCGGTTTGTTATATGGTTTGTTATTGATTATTATCAACAAACGGTGTAAGCAAACCGTGAGATTCTATTATAAACCATGGTTAGTACCACGATTTAATCTATATTGTTATCTATTCTGTATTTCCGTGGTTTGTTGTGGCTTTTTCGAGATTACAATATGATGATCACAATGTTATGAATAATATACTACCTATATAATATAATATTTATTATTTAATATATGAATAGGTATTTGTGAGACAGCACTGTATACAGCACTACTGAAGTACAGAACCATCAAGTATTTAGTTAGTATCAATAGACAACAATCAACTTTGGCCAACTATTTGTTCTATGGTATGGCATGATTGATATTACAAACCATAAAGGCATGAACTAAGAAACTAGTAACTATACTACTGCAGTCTAGAATACAGAGTACAGACATACAGTAAGTTGCTTATACAATACCACAATAGTATAGTATAGTATAGTACAATCATAGAATAAGAATATAACAATACTCTAAAGGCACTGTTTCCTTGCAGCGTCAGACAGTGGAACAGCACGGCGACCGATAGTAACGATAGACTCCGCAGGGAAAAAATACCTAAACGTCTCTAATACGATATAATGTAGGTACATCAATACTTATATGATATTATTATTAAGTATTCAAGTTAACTATGTATAGTATATAACTGAGATTTATATTTTAGTGTTGTAAATTTATATTAATTTTTAAATTGTTTTATTACATAGTAATTTGGATTATTGCGTTTTTGTCAAGATGGGTGAAATTGAAGTAAACTATGGTTCTACTTTACCAACCGAATCATTAAAGGTGATTGCGGAAAGTGTTGGTATTGGTAATCTCTCCGACGATGCAGCTAAAGAAATATCCGATTCTGCCACTTATCGTCTTAAATTAGTGTTACAAGTAAGTACATATTCAAATCATTTAGAATCAAAAATCTAGAAATTTATAAATGGACTAAAATATAAATAGTAATTAGTAATAATACCTAACATAAAGCTACATCCACACTTCATATATTTTATATTTTCTTAGATCATATAGAAATACATTCAATAAAATAAAGCATAGCATTGAATAATGTATTATTTAATATTTATTTCAAAAACTTTGTCCATCTTTATAACTTAACAAATTTTTTTTTTCAATATAATATAACTTGTATTTATGTAGGTTATAGGTGTTGTCGGGAGAATAAAAAGTGGCTACTGGTTATATGTAAGCAACCTTTTTTTCTTCGGAAATCAGGGATACTAAAAACCATAGACAACATCATTCTAAAATCTAATATTTCAAAATACACGCTCTGCGAAACCATCACATAAATTCACTACCAGAAATTTGCGCATCAGCGGCCACTTTTAATTTTCCCGACTATAGTAGGAACATCATTCATGATCAATAAATAAAATCAACCCAACTGGGCCAACTGTTTCTCATACTATATATTACATTGTTGACAATACATTTTACCAGTGCTAAATACCAGTAAACCCATAATTGTGTTAATAATGCAGCTATATTTTATGTACCTACATTATTAGAAGAAATTGTAAATTGATAATCTATAACTTACGAGATTATAATATAGATTTACTACATAATATACTGGCATACTGCTCATTTTTTATACACTTTATACATTATGTGTTCCTGATTTATGTTCTTAGGAAAGCAAAAAGTTTATGATGCATTCTAATAGATGCAAATTACTACCATCAGACATTGATAATGCTTTAAAAGTTTTCGGTATTGAAGTAAGTTACTCAAATTATATTAGTTTATTATCTTTAAATAAATAGAATAGTAGGTATTTAAATAATTATTTTCATAATATTATTTTACTATGATTTTTATCATACACTTATTTTACTATTAAAAAGCTATGAATCCAGAGCACAAGATTTAGGTTGAACCAAACATTCATTATTATTTTTTCATTCAAGTTTAATTTTAAAAACAACAGTAACTAAATACTACAATAAATACAACATCAACCTGTCCCATCATATCAACACACTTATCACAACTCTAGGCAAATAAACCATTCCAGACAATCCACCTCGTTATCGAAAACATTGTTGGTTTCAAGATCCTCTCAGTGCAGTTAAAAATATGAAATTAATAACCTAAGGGTTCTGTACTGGACAGTCTCCCTCCTCGTGCCAATTTATGCATTTCAAACTCTAATAAAAATGTCCACAAATTTGCTTATTGTACAAATATAGAAATATAGTATAGATTGTAAATATTCTCATAATAAAAAAAATGTTTATTTAGACAGATATTGTACATAGATGGCTATTTAAGTAGGGATGCCAAATTTTCCGTATTTCATGAGAATGTCCCGTTTTTCAACTAATTTTTTACTAATTTTTCTCGACAAGCAAAAGCTCTTCTGGGATACCAAAATGTACTGTTTATTGCTATTTGTTTGTTTTGAAATAATAATACTTGATATTATCATTAGGTGCTAGTGACCACCTAAAGTTTATATACAATACATATTATTGTATCTATCAATGGTCGAGAAGAACATGAAAGCGGTTATTAAGTATAAGTAGTATGTACTATGTATCCACAAAAATTTGTTGTTAGCTTATATATTTATTAATACTTTTGATTATAATTTATTATATTTTAGGAAACCAATGTTATAAATTACCATAATTAAGACTGTCCTATATCCATAGCAGTATTACTCTAGGTACAACATTTTTTAGATTATTTAAATAGTTTTAACTTGACCATGTTTTATACTACCTATGCATTTTTGTTCTTTCTGTTGAAGTTTTGAATCCGGCATTCCTATGTTTAGACTTGTTTTACTGTTTTATTATGTTTGATTAATTGAAAAACATGATGGCTTGCTCATTTTGCGTGCCACCAAAGTATCTAGTATAAGAAACAAAGTAGGCTCATAAGCCATTCTATCAAACCTTAATAATATGGTATCTAATTATGTCAATGGTTGCAATAGTGAATATTTGGTCACAAATTTTGTAATGTAGAAGTCAATACACAATTTGATATAAAAAATGTGATGTATAATGTCAGCTAATAAGTAAAAAAATTATAATGACAAGAATTTCTTTGACATATTTACAATTATTGTAAAATACTATTGTTTTATTTTTAGCCTATATATGGATTTCATGCTAAAGACCACATACCATTTAGGTATGCATCTGGTGGTGGACGAGAATTACATTTCATCGATGATAAAGATATTGATCTTATCGAATTTGTTAATGCTCCTTTGGCTAAGTTGCCTTTAGAAATCAGCATTCGATGTTAGTCTCATTACATAGAATTAATAAATAGTACCTACTTAATTTATACTAAATGTCTAGGCCACTGGCTCGCCATTGATGGAGTTCAACCAACCGTACCAGAAAATCCTCCTTCTGTATCCAAAGATGTTCAAAAACTTGAATGTGTAGATCCTTTAAACAAATTAAAAAAACCCATCGATAAAGAAGTTTCTGGACGTCCATCTACTGGGTATATATGTGACTATGTAATGTTATAGTCTGGATGAAAAAAAATTTTTTAAATCTATTTTTTATTTTAGAAAAGCTCAAAAATTACGCAATGTTGAAACTGTTCATGTGAAACAGTTGGCAACTCATGAGTTATCAGTTGAACAACAGCTTTATTACAAGGAAATCACAGAAGCTTGTGTTGGATCTGATGAATCTAGAAGAGCTGTATGTATTTTAATATAGATATCTATTTGTTTTACAGGATGATCCGTATAACAGTATACTCGTTTTTTCTCAGTAAAACAGTTTCCCAATGATTTGTGGTTTTGATGAGTAAACATCTATATGTATTCCCCTTGCATTATTATATCAAATGCAAGGTCCTAACATCTAATGAATTATAACAAAAAATTACTTAACCAATTTCAATAAAAGTTTTATCAATATATCTTTGAGACTGAAGATGATTTTAGCTTTTTTCGATCCCTATATTAGACTATACGATTGTACGAGGCTATCACAATGTACTATTATTGCATCAATAATATTTGTAATACAATAATTTAATAGAAACAAATTTACGACGCATTTAGCATTAACACATTCAATGCGTCAAATAATTAGTTGCGACACGTTCGATACGTCACAAAATATATCGATGTTTCGCTAGGAGCGTGCCACTAATACGGACATTTTGTATATTTGTATATTGTATCAACAAAATAAGTTATTTATAAACGGATTGGACTGAAATAACAAGAATTTTCTGTGCAGAGGCGTGTGTAATAATAAAAACATTACTGTAGTGCAGCGGTTCCCAATTTTTTTTTGCCACGGAACCCTAATCGATTATACATTTTTATGTGGAACCCTTGTTTGATAACATAAAGTTATCACCTAGTCACCTAGTAGTTTTATAGTTTTATGTTTGATATGAAAAGAAAGAACAAATATAAATGAAAAACAATTATTTTATGTATTAAAAAACATTTACTGTACAAAGAAATACAATGTAACTAAGTGCCTGTTTTTATCAATTTAATATTTTAATGAGAAGAATGAAATTTTTTCACATATTTTCTTAAAATATCACTAAAATTAGGCTTTATATCTGATAATTGAATGCGAAGATCTGGAGCTGCATCAAGTCTATTTCTGTACTTGTTTTTGGTGTAATTGTGCAATTAGAAATACTAGTAGAAGCATGAAACGAAACACATAACGAATGTGTGAACAACGGCGGCGCGGTTGTGATTCTTTTTTATGAAAGTTTTGTTTAATTTTTGGACGGTACGCGGAACCCTTGAGGCCCTTCCACGGAACCCCAGGGTTCCGCGGACCACCTTTCGGGAATCCCTGCTGTAGTGCGTCAATATTTTATAGCACATTTAATTCAACAGACCTGATGTCGGCTATATCCGACAGGCGCACCCGTTCAGATACCTACGCGTCAGCTATATCCGACAGACGCACCGTAAAAAAACCAGTCCGTCGGCTAAAGCCGACAAACGCAGCGAATGTGTTAACTAATATTTTGTGAATTAAATTAAATTTAAAAAAAAATCTAATAAAATGGCCAGGCCACCGGGCCATCTGGAAAATTCCCATTTCCAGACCGGCCACTCCGCTCCTGATTGTATGTATAGCTTGTTTTAGAATTGTTTGCTTAAAAGTAGATATATTTCAGAAATTATGAATTCTAATACTAGATATCAGAAAATGTTCAGATGTACAAACAATTGAATACAATATAAATTATGTTTTATTTTACTTTATTTTTTGATTATATGTAATTAAGTAAAAAATTAAGTATTAACTTATAAAGTAGCACACTACTCAATATTTTTCAAATTACTTTAAAAACATATTTATGATCCATATATTTTCCGGTTCTCCTGATTTGAAAAATATCGAGTAGTGTGCTACGTTTCTTTCCATGAGATCGACTTTTTTGACTTTCTTTGTAATAACCTTAAATAGTATCACTTAGTTATTAATTACGAATGAAAAATGTAATACAATTAAACAAATTATTTTTTCAGGAAGCTCTTCAGAGTTTGGCATCTGACCCGGGCCTTCATGAAATGTTACCTCGCATGTGTACATTTATTGCAGAAGGAGTAAAAGTAAATGTTGTGCAAAATAATTTAGCATTACTTATTTATTTAATGAGGATGGTCAAAGCATTATTGGATAATCCAGCACTTTATTTAGAAAAATATGTAAGTTCAATGACATATACCAATTACATATTACTGTATAATTTTTATAATTAAATTATAAAATTATGATTTAGCTGCATGAAATTATCCCTTCTGTGGTCACTTGTGTCGTAAGTAAACAATTGTGCATGAGACCAGAAATTGACAATCATTGGGCTTTGAGGGATTTTGCCTCACGTTTAATGGCACAAATTTGTAAAATGTTTAATACACCAACAAACAATGTACAAACTCGTATAACTAGAGTATTTACAAATGCTACTAATTCAGACAAAACCGCTCTTCCATCAGTGTATGGTGCACTTGAAGGTTGGTAAAAATAATCAATTATTTATAATTCAAATTAAATCAAATTAAATATTTTAGGTTTAGCAGAGCTAGGCACAGAAACAATAAAAGTATTTGTCATTCCCAGAGTACGCATGATATCTGATAGACTAGATTCACCAGAAGTTACACAGAATAATGTTGACCGAATATCCGGGAACCAAATTAAACACTTACTTTGTGTAATTTTTTTTATTTAAGTTTAGTTACATTTGTTTATAAATATTATTTTAAATTTACTTGTATTGCTTCAGAAAATATTGACTCCTGTGTTAAAAACAACTCATTCATCACCAGATAGTTTGGAAGAATACAAAAAAGAATTTGGATCTATTAGTGTTCAATTGTATGCTGCTGTATGTAAAGCTCGTACAACGACTATTATCCAAAGTACAAGCAACCAAACTGTAGCACAAACAAGTAAATTTATTTGTTTAAATAAAATATAAAATATGTTTGTTTTATATTTAATTATTAATATCAAATTTAATCTATATAGATACACAATCTAGAACAGTTGTTGGTCGACCAGTTGCAACAACTACAAGTAACACAATAAATCCTCAAAAATATGTACTGATGTCTCAAAGACCTGCTGTTGCACAAGTAAATTATTTAAATGCTCTAATAAATGATTGTATTTTTATATTTTTTAAACTATTTTTGTTTTCAGACTCCACCAAATAAAACAGTTTATATATCTCAGCAAAATATAAAATCAGAATTTCAAGATCCTAGTAATTGAACTTTAAGTTAAGCAAACACATTTTTAAAAAGGTCATTTTCAATAAACTTAATTAAAATGAATTACTCTTGTAAATCTTAAAAATGATATAAAATAATAAAATTAATTAGAAGATTTAGAAAAGTTATCGAAGTAAATTTGTGACAATTCATAGAGGCTGTAAACCGGTTGAAACCAGTTATGTTATTAACTGGTGTTAAAAATGTATATGAACTAAAACACAAACAGAACCACAATATTAGTTATTTTATAGAACAAAAACTTATTATTTTTTGTTAACAAACAAAAATAAATAAGTTTTTATCTATAAATTAATAATTAATATAACAAATGTTGATATATTTACACTTTGTATGATCAGGAGCAATCCACTCGTTAATTAAAATTATTTTATTAGTATTTAGGTACTAAAATTAATATAATATCATAAATAAATAGTTTAAATAAAAATCATACACTAATAAATAATATTTATACCCTAAATTTGTGCCAATACAAAAACAAATATGACATTAATGCCCCCAATATCCATAAAACTTCATTTTGTCCTAGTATCATAATATTATATACAAAGAACCACCAGACGAATTATATTATTTCTGTTACAGCTAAATTACTATGATATTTATATATCTTCTACCAATTGACTGATATGTCTGGCATCCTATTTTAGTACACTCAGTCAAAAATGGCACCTGAGTGGCAAGTTCCGGTGTTCTTTTCTTACTGGTCCTTATCATTTATCGTAATTGTACACCACATTTATTACCATAAATAATCTTTTTTGAGCAAACATTATTAACTAAAATATTTTTATGTTTTCAACACACTTCACTTCATCCGAAATTATGTTTTTTTATAAATTCCCCATTTTTTTAAATCAAAAATTCACACTTGCAAAAAAAAATAATAGATAAATAGTAACTGAATGGTGTCTGAATAAAAAATTGAAAAATTAATTTGTTTCCTTGAAATACTAATAACTCGCTTTAAAATTAAAATATAATACAAGCCTGTAAGCCCCAGAATAAAAGTAATCTAACCCAATCTAACCTAAGGTAATAATCTTACCTTTAAATTGTATGAGAGGTCATTTCACTCTAATTTTAGAAATTATTATAATATATGATTATAATCATTATTGTGAATTTACAATTTGCTTGCAAGTGGGTCAAAGAGAGAAAAAATAGTATGCTGACACAATGTTGAGAAGGAACTCGTTCTAAAAGTTTGGATTCCTGTAACGAGTTCTTTTTGTAAAAACAAAGCTTGGATCTGCTTCCTTAAAAAATAAAGAAAAAAGAAGATTAACAAATTCTTTTTTACTTTGAGGAATGTGAACAAAAATCACAGTTCCTTTAAATTTTAAAAATTTATTTAAATTTAATATATTTTTTTTTGTTTCTACATGTTAATAAGTTTAAGAAGGTATTGCTATTTTTAGTTGATTTATGATAATTCATTGATCGTTACTCTTGCCCAACATTATAATTAATAAAAGTAGTATTATTCTATAACCGCCATTTTCTAAATAACTTGGTTAAAAATGAACAAAAATTGGAATAAGTTCTTTTTTTAGAGGAACTAGATTTGAAGTGAGTTCCTTTTTTGAATAAGGATATCTGGAACAAGTCCATATATTAAGGAATGAACGGAGAACAGAATCTTTTTAAAAGGAACTTTCCCCACACTGCGCCGACATCCTTTTACATTGAGTTTGGTACCTATTTTATTTATTATAATTCATTAGCATTTTATTGCATTATAGAATTTGTGATCATCAAATAATTTAATTTAAAGGTTTTACCCTTAAAAACCCAAAAATGATTCAATTTGTTTTTGAAAATTAAATATATAATTAAATTGTTACTGTACGTACTTGTAAACTATAAATATTTATTATTAGATAAAAAAATTATAAGACATATTTTATAAACGGTCCAATACATAGCTTATCCCTCATTTTCTCATTTTTGCAAAAAAAATAATAGAAACCATTATATATAACAAGTAAAAATAGTCTTCTTATCCTATAGGTTGTACTAATGTTCAGTAAGTAGGTATTTAAATAATAAGTAGGATATATTATTTTTAATGCAAGATTTACACAAGACTCAAGTATTAAGATAAATTGTTTTGAATTAAATAATCAAACTACAAAATTAAATGCATATTCAAGTTACATGCATTTATTTTACATTCAACTAAAGTACTACAGTAAATTTATTAGCAGAATAATAGAGATCATTAATAAAAAATTATGCTGGCACTGACTATTAATAATGACAAATATCACTTACTAGTTAGGTATTGCAAATTGCAATAGCCAACAGGTATGTATGGTTACATTTTTATAGTACACAAGCCAACAAGCCTAATAGTGGTCTGGCTGTATATCAAAATGAAAAAGGAAAGGCATAATGTACACTTGTATTGGACATGAGTACCTATAACAGTAAATGTATTAGGTTATTAAAATAATAGAAATCATCATTATTTTATGTATAAACAATATTTAATCATAACAAACTATTCATAAAAACACTAAATACGATAACTTTTGGTTATAATTCTACTTTATTGTTTTTTATTGGGCACAATTGCATAACATTAGTACAAATGGAATGAACAAGGTGGTCATCATCTTCAGACTTAATAAAATTTATGAGATCTTCTTCAATATCATCGACAATTTCTTCGCAAAAATATTGTAAGCTTTTGTTCAGATCAGAGTCTTGAACCACATCCACCTCACTCATCAACGGGTTCATTTTTCCATCTAGTATCAGTGGCATAACTGTCAACGTACCATTCTTCTTATATGTAGCACGTACATAATCATTCATCTTTTCACATACAGATTCCATTACCTCTGTTAAGTATAACTGCGTCCGTGCTAATGGAACGGTCTGTTTTATTTGATCACCATTGCCGTCCAATCGAAAATTAGAAACTTGCACAATGTTTGCTGCTTCCACCGAACTAACATTGCGTTGTATTTCTTCAACAAGACGACAACACACTTCACATTTTAAATCTAAAGAGTCGAAGGCTATACACGGCATTAATAATGCAAAAAGTATGTATAAATGTTTTGTGGAGAACATTATTAATAAAAAATTTGTTGTTCTTAACTTAAACTAGCAATAATATGTGTTAATAAATAATGGATCTGTATATTTTGGTCACTAATCAGCTAATTTAAAAACAAAAAAAATACTATAGCCAGATGCTACAATATAACGAAATAATAAAAAAACTAAATTACTCAACACATAAATACACGTTACAAAGGTGCAAAATTAGAATTCATTAGGAAACTCGGCATTGACGTCACGTCAAAACCCAAAACAACTATTTTTTTACTAAATAAATTGCAGATAACATGTTGCTTCTAAAGTTCAAACCAGTTTGGACGATGGTCGATGGTAATGGTATAGAACAATGGTGGGGTTAAGGTTATGTGAATAGATTGTATACAAAATGTAATTCATATCACATGTGGTGGGGGGTGATATACCACGATATTATAATACGTTTTTCGTTATAAAATATATTTCAATTTTAAATAAAAAAATAAATAAATGTAGAATATAAGTAGGTACAGTCTTGTAAAAATACTTTTTAGTCCGGTCAAAAAATACAAAAAAATGTTAATTTCAAAATAATTTGAGTAGAGCTCAAAATAAATTATTACACATCTTAGGTACCTCATCAGTCATCTCAAAATTCCCCATCGATCATACTGCTGATAAATTTTTTATTCAAGGACAAAGGTCCCAAAAATAGGTTTTTTTATTTATCTCTTAAACTTTAAGTGCTTTTGTAAAAAAATGTTTATCAAAAAGATAGACCGAGTAATTTTCTAAAACTAAATGTGTCCACACTTTTATACCTATACGGGGTATAAGTAAAAATGTATGAGTTATTGTGATTTTAAAAATGATAAATGGTATTTATTACGGGTGTACTTTGTTTACCCCTATGGTTTATACAACTATGAATCGCGATAAAAAAGTCGGGAGTAAAAATGTCCTAGGAAAAAAAGTCCGCAGTAGATAAGTGAGCAGCCTAAATGATTGTAATGTTTATCTAGTATTATGACTTTTGTTTCTTCGAGAGCAACTAATCAACTAGCAAAATATCGAACTATACTGTCAAAAATAACAAATTTTCAGTTACCCATACGCAGGGGTTAAAGTGGGGGGGGACGCAAGGGGACTCAGTCCCCCTACCTCTAATGGTGGTTAAAAAGCGTCCCCTTTAAAAAATCATTCTTAAAGTACGTCGGAACGCTCCAATTATAACCAATTATATCAATATTCAATATAATTCAGAATTCCGTTGAGATTAAAACCGTGATTACTACGGACTATGATATACAGGACTGGACACTACAAGGTTGGAGGGTGTGATTGGTTGACCGCGAAATGTAGTATTATTCATAAAATAAATTAAAAATTTGACCATTATTCATGATTCAATGTGGGATGAGTATGTTACACAATCATTGTTTATCTAGACACGCGGTAGCGTGTCAAGCCAAGTTCTAGCTAACAGAACTGGCGAGCAGCACCGTGTGTAATATTACACGAACCATTTGGAGCTACTTTTGACCCCTGTTCGAACGCGGCTGAACTTCCCGCCGAATCTACTAAAGTCCAAAGGCTTTACAAGTCTCGTGGACGGCGCGGAATGTTCGCGAAGAGTCGTTCCCCCTCCACGGCGTCCACCGTCCACGGCCTCCGTGCCGGGGACTCGGCCTGTTTGTCTCTTACCTACGCTCGAACTTGGCGGATCACGCACCGCCGGTTCGCGTTGCTTCGTGTGGCTGTGTTTAGACCTCGTGGTCATTATTAGCAATTATTTATTATTTATGATTATAATTGGTGCACGTCTATACCGTCGTAAACTTGGAGACAGTCTAAGTTTGACGGATTGTGTCACCGCGCACCACCGAATTTATTAATTATTATACGTGTCACCGCTGGGCCGTCGTTCAACTGCGCCGCAGTGCCGATTTTGGCTGTTGACGAGGAAGACGCTGTCGCATTTCCAGCGAGGACCGTGCTGACCAGTGACCTGTCCCCGAGGTGTCGATCAGGTCATATTGTAAAATTATTATTACCTATTGTTTAAATTATTATTATTGTTTATTGTTCAAATTATTATTATTATTATTGGTGTAGCGCGTGTTAAATTGTACACGGCGTCTACATTGATTACTAGTGTGTAAAAAATATATATATCGCGTCATTACGCATTAAGACTTGTACGAGGTAATATATTGTGAGTTCGCCCCTTCCCGTCCACAGCATTCCGCGAGTCGTTGTCGCTAACCGCGATTTTCAAAGTAGGAGCGGCACGGCGCACATTTTTGGTAGCAGAGCGTGGTTTTCCGACCTTTGTGGGGGTTCGGTAGCGGTGTGTTTGGATCTTTTTGGTGGGCTGGTACCCACATAGTGTTTCCTACGGTGCTTATAGGCGACATAGTTTATTTTTATTTGTATTTGATTTATATTTATATTATATTACACTTCACTCGTAATGATTGACGAGAAAGACATTGAGCGTACGTCGCGCCAGCTCGCGCGTGCTATAGTAAAGCGTACTACCATTATATCACAGATTCGAGCCATACATGCTATGTCGTTGCGCGTACAATCAGAGCCTGATTTAGCCTCAGAGTTTGCGTTAAACGCGGCTGATTTAGACGCGCTATGGTTTCAATTTCGGACGGATGACGATTCTGTATTAGACCTTTTAGTGGCGTCCGATAAGCTCACCGATTATTCACCCGACTTGACAGCGGAGGTACGCCAACTAATTAACGCGGCTAAAAATATCGCCCAGCGGTTAATCCCGACAGGTGCCGACGCCGTCGACTTATCTTATCTCCGAGATGGGACATCAAGTGTTCAGAAACCGCGAGAGGATCCGGTTAAGTCTCTCTCCCGCTTACCTGATATACCTCTACCCACGTTCGATGGTGATTACCGATCGTGGCCCAATTTTCGCGACAGATTTTCAGCGCTTGTCAATTCGCGATCCAATTTATCGAACATCGATAAGATGTACTATCTAATAGGTTGTCTAAAAGGTGCCGCAGCCGACGCTGTCCGAGGCATACCGGTGTCGGCGGACAATTACGAGTTAGTAATGAACACCTTATCTGACAAATTTAATCGACCGCGTTTGGTCGCAACGGCACTTGTCGACAAATTACTGCAATCGTCGGCCATGACACAGGAGTCGCTTAACGACTTGAACACGTTTGTAGGCACGTTCAGTGAATCCATCTCATTACTAGACGCGCTAAGAATACCAGACTCTGGGTCTTTTATTTTATTTTCTATAGCGTTTCGACGTCTACCTGTTTCTACCCGCAAATTATTTGAAGCGAGTAGTACAGTCGATTACCCGTCGATAGGACAATTATTAGATTTTCTCCGGGCCCGAGTGGCCATTCTCGAAGTTGTGGGCGAATCCCACAAAAGTAGTACTAATAATGCGCCGTCAAAGTCGACAGGTCAGTTCCGAAAGGGGGGAGATTACGCTGGGAAGCCTCGCTTGACGTCTTTAGTCGCGTCCAAGTCAAATAGTACGTGTCCATGTTGTGCGGGTACACACGCATTAACATCGTGTTCGCGGTTCAAAAATTGGGGTCTCGACGAGCGCACTCGATGGACGCGCGATAAAAAATTATGCTTTAATTGTTTTAGTGACGAACACTGGGTTCCCAAGTGTAATGTTAAATCGAGTTGTCAGAACTGCACGCGTAAACACCACTCGCTTCTTCATCAAAATATATCGTCCAGGAGAGATCACGATGATCGAAACGAGCCACCGGCTGCCGAGGCGTCGTTATGCGCGTCCGTGCCGCGTCCCCCTCCACACCAGGCCTCGTCTATAATTTTAGGTACTGCACTAGTGCATATGCGCGATCGTTCCGGGTCGTGGCAAACAATGCGCGCACTGATAGATTGTGCGTCGCAGATAAGCGCCGTTACGAGTGCGTGTGCCGATCGGTTAGGCCTTAAGCGCGCCCGTTGGACAGCCCCGATAAGCGGTTTATCCGGAGTTCCCGTAGTAAATGTCCAAGGTCGCGTTGAGTGTAACGTACAGCCGCGGTTTGCGTCCGAACCTGTGCTTTCCATAAATGCGTGGGTGTTGCCCGCCATAACGAGTGACTTGCCTCGAACAACGCTACACTCGAGCATTAAAGAGAGGTATTCTAATCTCGCGCTCGCCGACCCGTCATTCGATATCACTTCACCTATTGACGTATTATTAGGCGGCGATGTATACGCGTCAATAATGGACGGTCGAAAATTTTCGGTGGACAAAGCTTTACCTACGGCGTTTAGTTCCGTCTTTGGTTGGATTTTAATTGGCCCAGTGTCCGACCGAGAGGCTCACCCGTATCAATCGGTGCCGGTCGCTATGACTGTTTCCATTGAAGGGTTAATGGAACGGTTTTGGCAGGTTGAGGAGCCAGAGGCTGCGCCCGCGACGTTCACGGACGAGGGGCGTTGTGAAAGATTATTTTGTAAACAGTCTATACGCTTGCCGTGCGGCCGTTTTTCGGTACCGTTGCCCTTTCGTGCGCCGCCGTCAGCTGATACTTTCGTCGGGTCCCGCGAACTCGCGGTGCGACGTTTTGACGCACTCGAACGTAAATTGGCTACAAGCCCTCAATTACAATCATTATATGTCCAATTCATGTCGGAATACATTTCGCTAGGTCATATGTCCGTCGCGACGTCCCCGGGACGTTATTTTATTCCGCACCACGCGGTGTATCGTCCGGCGATCGATGAAAATAAAATACGCGTTGTATTCGACGCTTCCGCGCAAAGTAGTCGCGGACCGTCATTGAATAATTGTTTGTTTACCGGTCCTAAGTTACAACAGGACATAGTCGACATTTTGACTAGATTTCGGGTCCCCAAGTACGTGTTTACGACCGATATTTGCAAAATGTATAGACAAATATTAATTTTACCGGAATATCGTCAATTCCAACATATCTTTTGGCGACCGTCGCCACACGACGAACTTGTAGAATATGAATTAAATACCGTTACGTACGGCGTTAATTGCGCGC